TCGAAACCATTAGCAAGTATTTTCAAAAACTCATGGACAATAGATGAGGTCCCAGAAGACTGGAGAAGAGCAAACATAGTACCGATGTTTAAAAAAGGGAACAAAGGTGACTCGGGGAATTCGAGACCAATCAGCCTAACTTTGATTCCTGGTAAGATACTAGTAGCTAGGGGGAAATAGTAGATGTGCTATATCTTGATTTTAGTAAGGCTTTTGACAGTCTCACGGAAATGTGGTCTAGAGCAAATTACTATAAGTGGGTACACAGCTGGTTGAAAGACTTACTCAAAAAGTAGGTACCAATGGTTCGCTGTCAAATTGGGAGGGTTTCTCTAGTAGAGTCCCACTAAGGTCACCCCTGGATCTGATACTATGCAATATTTTCATTAATGACTTGGATAATTGAGTGGAGCGTATGCTTGTAAAATTTGCAGATGACACCATGCTGGGTGGGTTTACAAGCACTTTGGAGGACAGGATTAGAATTCAAAATGACCTTGCCCAATTAGAGAATTGGTCTGAAATAAGATGAAATTTAGTGAAGACAAATGCCAAGTACTACACTTAGAAAGGAAAAATCAAATGCACAACTACAAAATGGGGAACAGCTGACTAGGTGGTAGTACTGCTGAAAAGTATAGTGAATCTCAAATTGAATGAGAGTCAACAATATGATGCAATTGCAAAAAGGCAAATATCATTCTGGGGTGTATTAATAGGAGTGTTGTATGTAAGACATAGGAGATAATTGTCCTGCTCTGCCCAGCCCTGGTGAGGCCTCAGCTGGAATACTGTGTCCAATTTTGGATGCCACATTTTAGGAAAGATGTGGATAAATTGAAGAGAGTCCAGAGGAGAGCAACAAAAATGATAAAAAGTTTAGAAAACCTGACCTACGAGGAAAAGTTAAAAAAATAAAACTGGGTATGTTTAGTGTTCAGAAAAGTCAACTGAGGGGGGATCTGATAAGTCTGAATATATGTTAAGGGTTGTTATAAAGAGGATGGTGATCAATTGTTCTCCATGTCCACTGAAGGTAGGACAAGAAGTAATCGGTTTAATCTGCAGCAAGGGAAATTTAGGTTAGATATTAGGAAACACATCCTAACTTTAAGTGTAGTTAAGTTCTGGACGAGGCTTCCAAGGGAGGTTGTTAAATCTTCATTGTTGGAGGTTTTTAAGAATACGTTGAACAAACACCTGTCAGGGATGGTCTAGGTTTACTTGATCCTGCCTCAGCACACGGGGGTGGATTTGATGACCTTTTGAGGTCCCTTCCAGCCCTACATTGCTATGGATCTACGTGGGGTTGCAGAGGGTGGAATGCAGGATGGGGGTGGGAGGGAGTGGATGTGCGGTGGAGGGGGAGGAATGCAAGATGGCTGGGAATGGGGAGCACTGGTCATGGGTATGCACATGTAGCAAAGACAACTGAAGAATTTTGGGCCAAGCCCACAGGTCCTTGGCAGAGATGAAGGGACAACCATTGTCCTTAGCTAGGTAATTACTAGATGCTTAGAGGCAGGGAAGAGAGAGTCTTATGGTTGGACCAGTGTGCCTACCTCCCACATTGCATGCCAAGTAGCATATACATTCCTGAGCTCTGTAATTTCACAGGGATAAATCCATGCACAGGCAGCTTGCCCTCTGAATTTTATATTCCATTTGCTATGCTTCTTGAGTTTTGATACAAGCTGCATATAGCAGAACACAGAATCGAGCTGAAAGAGTGTATACGTTTAAATTGGGGAATACATCAGCCTTGGAGGTTGTTGACATTTTAATTGTGGTTTATGTATTGTATGGGACATTTTAGAGGATTTTGTAAGAGATAAAGGAAATTGCATCTCAGGCTCTAAACCCCTCAGGTTTCTGGAGCTTGGGCTGCTGCCCACAGCCCTTTGCAAGTTTTCTGTAACTGTCCAGCATTCCATTTTCAAAAAGGTGACAGCTCTAATTTAGACTCCAATGTGTTTTAAGATGTTAATGGTTTCCATTCTCAAGTGTCTGATGATTTTTTAAGAAACGATGACCGGAAATTCCATCTTATCCTTTCAATCTTTTCTTGACCAGCAGGGCACACTCTTTCTAAAATTAAGATACATCCTTAGTTTAAGGCAGGGGTGGGCAAACTATGGTTCGCGGGCCGGATTTAGCCCACCAGCTCCCGCAGGGGACAGGGGCGGCTCTAGGCACCAGCGCAGCAAGCATGTGCCTGGGGCGGCAAGCCGCGGGGGGCGGCAGTCAGGCTGCCTTCGGCAGCGTGCCTGCAGGAGGTCCGCCGGTCCCGCGGTTCGGTGGCAATTCGGTGGCAGGTACGCCAAAGGCGCGGGACCGACAGATCACCCGCAGAAACGCCACCGAATCCGCATGACCAGCGGACCGCCCGCAGGCGTGCCGCCAAAGGCCGCCTTACTGCCGTGCTTGGGGCGGCAAAAAACATAGAGCCGCCCCTGGCTGGGGAGTGGGGTCTGGGGCTTGCCTTGCTCCGGCGCTCCAGCCGGGAAGTAGGGTTGGGGGCCGCTCCATGCTGCTTCTGGAAGCAGCGGCATGGCCCTGCTCCGGCTCCTACGTGTAGGGGCAGCCAGGGGGCTCCGCTCTGCATGCTGTCCCCACAGCTCCCATTGGCTAGGAACTGCGGGAGTTGTGGGAGCTGCAGGGGTGGCGCCTGCAGATGGGGCAGCATACAGAACCACCTGGCCGCGGCTCCGTGTAGGAGCCGGAGTGGGAACATGTCCGCTGCTTCTGGGAGTCGCTTGAAGTAAGCACCGCCCAGAGCCTGCAACCCTGAGCCTCTCCCCAGGCCCCTGGCCCAGCCCTGATCCCCCTCCCACCCTTTGAACTCCTCGGTCCCAGCCCAGAGCACCCTCAAACTCCTCACCCCAGCCCCACCCCAGAGCCCGGACCCTACTCCTCTGCCCCAAAAGAGCCCCCTTCCTCACCCTGAACTAATTTCTGGCCCCACCCTGGAGCCCTCACCCCAACCCCAATTTTCTGAGCATTCATGGCCCACCATACAATTTCTATTCCCTGATGTGGCCCTTGGGCCAAAAAGTTTGCCCACCCCTGGTTTAAGGTCTCACTGATTAGCCAAATGTCTTTTATTGCTGTCTAATGGTTCTAGAAAATTTGGTTCAGATTCCCTTTATTTTCTTATGTTACTGTTTTTGCATTGCTTAGATCAGGGGTAGGCAACCTATGGCACGTGTGCCGAAGGCGGCACGCGAGCTGATTTTCAGTGGCACTCACACTGCCTGGGTCGTGGCCACCAGTCTGGGGGGCTCTGCATTTTAATTTATTTTTAAATGAAGCTACTTAAACATTTAAAAAAATGTATTTACTTTACATACAACCATAGGTTAGTTATATATATAGACTTATAGAAAGACCTTCTAAAAACGTTAAAATGTATGACTGGCACACAAAACCTTAAATTAGAGTGAATAAATGAAGACTCGGCACACCACTTCTGAAAGGTTGCCGACCCCTGGCTTAGATGGTTGTGCAGCAATATCTTTCTTGTACACAATACAGATTTAATTTTTCTAGTGGAGAGTTTCAAGGGTAAAGGATATTTTCCTGATCCCAAGAAGAGAAGTACATTCTTTTAACTTCAGCTCTTCTATAACTTTCCAACTTAGTTTCTACAGGAGAAATAGTGAGCATGTTTGTGGGGAAGGGGAGAGTTCTGAATTTGTGCAAATTAAACTGCGTGTTTTAGAACAAATGTGAGTTTATTACTATCCAGACAAATCGAGCTCCAGTTGTGTATAGTATTAGTAGAGCAGCCCATTTTTTATTTTGTAAATCTTCCCTACAAATCAAATTTGCTAGCCAGATGCTACTTTTTACATTTTCATTTTGTAATTTATATGTGAGAAGCAAATTGCTCTCTGTTGCAGTCTGCTGCAGAACAAATACTGGAGTAGACACCGGAATTACCATACTAGATCAAGTTAAGATCAGATCAGAAGTCCATTTGGTCCATTGTGCTCTATCCAAATATGGACAGTACCACATACTGTAGAAAAAGATTTAAAAAAAACCCTGCATTGTAGGCAGTTATGGAAATACAAATATGGGCAGAAGTATTCATTCTCAATAAATAATTTAAAGGTTGAGGTTTGCAATTATAAGATATTTGACTGAAGTTAGTTTATAAGGTTCCATCAAATTGTGTTTTAACTAAAGATCACTCCAAAAGCAGTGTAGCATGGTCCTTTTGACTGACTGAACCATTACACCAAGTGACAGGGGTAGCACTGTTATATTAACATCTGACCCCCAAAAGTGCAGCTACAACAAAAGATTAGGGCTGTTCATTTTAGAAAAGAGGCAACTAAGGGAGAATATGATTAAGGGCTATAAAATCAGGAATGGTGTGGAAAAAGTGAATGGAGAAGTGTTATTTACCCTTTCACCCAATACATAAACCAGGTAACAGTCGAAATTAATAGGCATCAGGTTTAATACAAACAAGAGGATGTACTTTTTCACACAAAGCACAACGCCCATGGAACTCAGTGTCATAGGATGTTGTGAAGGCCAAAAGCATAACTGGGTTCAAAAAATAACTGGATAAGTTTATGGAGGATAGGTCCGTCAATGACTATTAGCCAAGATGGTCAGGGCCCCAAACCCATGCTTGGGGCAACCCTAAACCTCTGAATGCCAGAAGCCAGGAGTAGAAGACTGGGTACATGACTCCAGCATTACCCTGTTCTGTACACTCCCCCTGAAGCTCAGGTATGGACCACTATCAGACACAGGATACTGGGCTAGATGGACCATGGTCTGACCCAGTAAGGCTGTTCTTATGTTCTTGGATATTCCTCACTGAAGTGAGATCACAGTACTGATTGACCTTTGTAGGGGATTTGTATTTATATTTTAAAAAAAAATGTGACAGTAAATTGATCTGGGCAGAACTATGGCCAAATATGTTAGTCCAAACCAGGGAGAAGGGGAATTGGTAAGCTTTGAAACGCTCAAGACAAAGATAAATTTCATTGTGTTTTATTATGAAAAAGATACAAAAAATATTCTCTTTCCAATGCTCCTCAAGTCAAAATACGTCTTCTAAACCAAGATATTTTGCAAATCTCAGTAATCAGTCTCAATCATTAGCCATTCCTAATCAATGCAGACTTTGATTGCATCTTTCAATACCACCATAAATTGGAGGAAAATACTGATGAATCTAAACTGCTTATGTTTATGAGCTTCCACAGTTACACAAATTCTCAGCTAGACTAAAACCTGCTCACAGTTAGCACCACTGAAATGACCAAATCTGACATTTTTGAGATTAGCACTGAAAAGCACGAGGCTAGTGTATATTGACACAACACCTTAGTTAGCTTCCAATTTAACATGGGCCTCAACTCCTCTGACATTCGCTATAAGGCACAGGAACACCAAAGAAAAATGCTCAGATATGAGCAAGTTCCCCAGATGCAAAGAGCACGTCAGGAGAAGATGCCCTCGCTGTATAACTCATCCGTATCGAAAAGGGAGTGAGTGCAAAACTCAATCATTTACCAATAGCCACAGGAGTAACAAGACTGTTCTATGCAGGGATAATGATGTGGGTTATCACAGTCACCCATGCACAATTAAACTGTACTGGTCAAAATTTTGCTGTCAGTGGAGAAGGCTCTTTGTGAGAAAATGCAGAAAAACCCTTAGCACAAACCTACCTGGGATAAAAGCCCACCATACCGCCTCCTAATGCTTCATTGAGGTTATTTTAAAATTTCAGTTCCATTTAAAAATATTAGCTTCTAATATTTACTGATCTCCACAGATCCCTGTGACCGAATGTCATGATCCCCCTCTCAGAGCAAGAGACAATAGCTATGAAATCATAAAACGCCAGCCCATGACAAGCTAAGGGAGAATGCCCCATCAGTGTTCTGTGTGCCCTGGTCAGCGCTGGTACTAAACAGACAACTGCGTCATTATGATATAACTTCACCATACTTCTGCAGCACCCTTTGGAAAGCTCAAAGTAATTTACAGACATTATTAAATTTAGTCGCAACACTCCTGTGAGGTAGAAGTATTAAACCCATTTTACAGATGGGAAACTGAGGCACGGAGGTGACTTGCCCATATCGGACAGCAGCAATCCTCGAAATAAAACTCAGATCTTCTGATGCTCAGTTCTAAGTTTTAGGCAATGTTCCTTTTCATGGACCACACTCCCTTGTAATACTAGTTTGCACTTCTCGAGCACCTGTCATCCAAGGTGCATCACAAGATGCTTCCCAGCACTTGCAAGAGAAACAGTAAGATATGGGAAATGAAGAGAGAGGAATCTGAGCTGCTATCTGATTGTGGTGTCTGATAAGTCCCAAATAATGAGAATGGAAGGTTTCCTACAAGAGGTCACCCCATGGTTTAAAATTCATTTTCCATTTCTGATCTTATGCTGGCATCATGGAATTACTGAGAAGGTGATCAGAAATGAATCCAAAGATTAATGTGAGGCCAGGATGAAGGTATGGGAACAGGCCTGTCATAGTGGAATTGAATGTCCTAAGATGACATTTTTATCATGGTGTGTCTGCTGACGGTGCATTAGTGTTCAGAGCTATAAGAACAATCAAAATCTGCCTCTTCCTCTCCTGATCAGAATTCATCCCGCAGCCTTGGGGGGTGGTCCATGCCAAAAAATGAGGAGGGCCTCCCATGCACATCACGTTCTCGTTTCACAAAGGCAGTAAATGAAGAGACACAGTTCCCAATAAAATGGTCAGATTGGCCAAGGATATACAAATCTATCTGGGCCACTTCGGGCTGCAAATTCACCACTTTGATCTGCAAAGTGAAAGGGAAAAAACAAGTTAATCCAGCCATCACTGTACAGAATAGATAGTCCCAGGGCATAAGAGTCCTGGCCATAACACAGCAAACTGGAATCAATCTAAACTTGCCCTTTCAAAGGCTCCAGCAAGTACTGCTATTACATAGGCATCTCAATTCAGCTCAAGTCCTTGCCAACACACAGGACTGGATCTTTTAGTTCTGGAGGAAGCTGAATTCTTCAAAGGACCCTTAGTACTTTAGTCTTGTTGCTGTGGGTAAAGCTCACTTCTCATTCCATGCATCAGTAACGAACTTTCCTAATATGAAGGTTAGCAGTCCCTGAAGTTCACACTGATCTAAAATAGAAGGACTTGGAAATTTTACCTTAACACTTATTAGCACAAATAGTAAACCTACTAGCCAGGATGGAAAATATCTGTGCTGCCATATTTTCTGTTTCTCCCAAACTTCTTTTTTCTAATATATCTCATCAATTTCTCCCACTACACTAACATGTGGGCTGGGGCTCCACTGCCCAGGGACAATGCCTGAGTGAAAACTGATGTACTCCACCCCAAGTGATGGGAAAGGGGAGAGTGCTGGGATTCTTAAAATGTTAGGGTTACTTATCTAGGACCCAATCCTACAAGGTTCTGAGTGTCCAATTCTTATGATACTCAGAATCTCAAAGGATCAAGCCAATAGACATCCAATCCTTTGACACTCACTAAACCTCAATTTTACTGCAGCACCAGGGCACAAAGAGTATTTCATAGAATCATAGAATCTCAGGGTTGGAAGGGACCTCAGGAGGACATCTAGTCCGACCCCCTGCTCAAAGCAGGACCAATCCCCAGACAGATTTTTTTTTAAACCCAGTTCCCTAAATGGCCCCCTCAAGGATTGAACTCACAACCCTGGGTTTAAGCAGGCCAACGCTCAAACCACTGAGCTATCCCTCCCCCCATCATCCGTTAGTTAATCAGTCAGTCTTAACTGAACACACACGAGACAGTCAAATGTCCAGACCATGCAGCAGCAGCAAGCGTTGCACTAGCTTGGGAAGGACATTATTGGAGCAGTCCTGTCAGTCTGAGAGTCTGAGGGTACGTCTACACTTACTTCCTGGTTCGGCAGCAGGCAATTGATCTTCTGGGATCGATTTATCGCGTCTTCTCTAGACGCGATAAATCGATCCCAGAAGTGCTCGCCGTCGACGCCGGTACTCCAGCTCGGCGAGAGGAGTATGCGGCATCGACGGGGGAGCCTGCCTGCCGCGTCTGGACCCGCGGTAAGTTCGAACTAAGGTACTTCGAATTCAAATTTGCGTACCTTAGTCCGAAGTGGGGGGTTAGTGTGGACCAGGCCTGAGAGACTTACCTTTCCTTTGAAAAGCTGCTGTATTTCTGTAGTGTAGGGCTCAGAATCCGTGGCAATGTAGACAGACTTAGCTTCCACCTTCTTCACCCAGAGCTCGAGTGCACGCTTGATCTCCTTCAGGTCTGGCAGGCACATGTCCATTGTGAGAGGCACAGCGTTGTTTCGGTCATAGCCTACGCACTGTGGCGAAGCCATGAAGTGTGATCCAGCCGTCCCATCCTTCAGCATATTACATGCATTCTTCTATTAGGACGAAAAGAGAGAATGCCACATGTGAACGGCAACAGCTGAGAAAAAAAGAACTGACTCCAACTCAACCAACATTTCTAGTATCTAAACACGGCCAGTTACTGAGTGCAAACTCGGTTAGACTCTCATCTCAGAACGACCGACCAGATCAGTGCTGCTCCGTGTCTCTCTCCGTATACTTTCTATAGGGATGATGGCTGCCAGTCCAGTTGTGTGGTGATGACACTGACCGCATGCACCAGACCCACTGAAATCTACATAAGAGCGTAAGAGTCATACCCAGTCAGAGCCGATCCGCAGATGAATTCCTACATAGGGTCTAACCAGGAGAGAATGAATATAGGCCTCTCCCTTCTGCGCCATCTCATCAGACCACACAACATACTTGTGCAGAGGCCGATGCTCCTCTAAGACTGGAAACTGGGCTGGAGCTCCAGGTAGGGCAAGAACAGGGTGCTCTGATGGTGGAAACCTGGAAGGAGAAACAAGACAGGAGCTCCATGTGTTTTCAGCATCTCTGGGAAAGAGATGGAAAAAGAAACAGGTGTGCAGGATATCTTTTGGCCTTGTTAGAGTGCCAGGGTAAATCAGAAAAGACAGTTATTCCATGGAATGGAAAGAACTGAGCGATCCTGCATTATAGAAGTCCAGTGAACCAACAAGCGAAGTTCAAGCAGTAGGTGTAATTCCAGACTAAAAACTATGAAGAGATTACATGGATAGCCCCTCATAATCAAGAATTGCCAAAATTAGAGCTGCCTGAATGATTTTAACTCCACCCCTTTGGGTACATGCATTAGGATTCAGTTGTTAATTACATGATCATTGACATTCTCAAGAAAAAACAAAATGCCTTCTTCACCCTCACCATCCTTAAAGTTTTCCCACTTGTCCTTTGGTCTCTCCATACCTCATCCCCATCCATTGCCCTTGCAAGCTCTGGCCAGCTATAGCCTCTACATCCTAAGGGATAGAGAAATTCCTACTCTTCCCATCTTGTGGGCCTTCAGAGGTGCAAGGAGGAGTCTAGCTTGTGTGCACCTTAGAACCACCATACAAGAGATGTAGGCACTGAATCCTAGCCTCCACTCCTGCACTACAAGTTTCAGTGCATAGCTAGTTAGCCCTACATGCACGGTGTAGCCATCCTTAGCTATGCACTTTATGAGTTTGGTATAAAAAGTACTGAAAACAGTGGATTAGAATGGAAACCATTACGCAACCTGAAATATAACAGTGTCTATCACTCCTGCTGTTAGAAAAAAGGAATCTTCACCATTTCAGCATGTGAATTATACACAACTCATAGTGTCAAGACACTGCTTTTTACCTCAGACTCAACAGCAAATCAGAAGTGAATTAATGCAATTTGAGGGACAGAACAATGACAAGACAGCCTTGACATTCATGGCAGTGGATCAGTTATAAATACTCTTTAGTTAAGTGTTTCTCACTCCAAGTTAAAGTAGTTCTGATGCCCAGGCAACTGCAGTAATAAATATTAGGCCACTTGTGGCTCTGATAACAGGTAGATACTGGACAGAAGTTTAGTGTAGTGTGATCTTTGTTCATCAGCTGAGACCTGAATTATTTCTGATTTACTTCTGGGAAGAGCAATTAAAGACTCAGCCAATAAACATAGCAATTAAATGTTATGACTTATTGGCTGGCAAGTTGCTCAGCCTTACATACTTCACATCTAATACTGTCAATAGGAACACAGTGTTGGGCCAATTGACCATGGAAACAGCTTCAAGGTTTTTGTCTCAAGGTTACACACTCCTAACTGAAATGTTAAACTGTCACTTCAAGCCATCCCAAATGACATCAGGGCTCTATGGTGTGACTAGAGTGAGCATTTCCCTGAGAGCCACTCCAAGTGCCTACACAAGTTCAGCTATGGCATCACTACTCCACCACTGTGGACAGCTTCCCCCGGCTCTTGTTACCTTTGGATCCAGTGGTCCTTGTAAGAGAGACTGAAAGAAATGCCCCCGAAGAGCTCAGACCTATTGAAGTCCACGTTGAATTGATCCCAAAATGGACCAAAGGGATTTCCGTCCTGCAAAACAAAAATAGCTGCTCAGACACCACAGCACATGGAGCCCTGGCCGTGTGCAGTTAACAGAATCCCTGGCCTTAGAGCTGGAATCTAAAAAATGGAGGACCTGGAGATGTCTGCAACCAGAATTCTGCTACAGAAAGACATGCTTACCAGGGGGTTGACGGAGTTTGGTATGCTTACCATCTAACAACTTGCTGGGAAGGAGCAGATAAACTAAGGAGATCCTTGTATTAAAATAAAACACTATTTCAAACGCTGTCCTAAAACGTATCAAGTAACTGGCCCAGTGACCATATGTCCTGAATGAGACGGACTTTTAAAATCAGTTGGGTATAATTGCTGTATGGATGAGATAGATGGGTAAAAGGCCAGTGGAATGTCTGCTTTATTTTTGTTAAGGTCTTGTTTTTACCTAAAATTACAATTACTTTGAATATGATAAATACACACTTAAACAATAGAACCCTATTGACTCCCAACCCTTCACTGTCACCACCAGACCTGAATGTAAGTACCTCACAGATGGGTTCTAATGGAAGAGCAGCACATGGTTGGATTGCCTGAAATGCTGTGCAGAATGTATAATCTCGAATGCAATGCCCAAAGGGATAGGCAGGGGAAGAAGTGCCCCGTACAGTGATCTAGGACACCAAGCCTTAGGAAGGTCCCAGAATAGTGAATAAATACCAGTCTCTGACTCAATCATTCCTCTGACCTAAGCTAGCAAAACAGGAGTGAGACACTTACCTTCATGGGACAAGTCCTTTTGTCACTGCTTCTCTGAGCTGCTGCTTCAAAGCAGTAAGCCACTCGCTTGCCAGGGGGCCAGTGAATGGGTGCTAATCTCTTCATGAAGTCCTCCAAGCTGATAACCCGGTGATATTCTAAGAGAGGTTCCAGTTTGAAGTATTCCTTGTAGGAAACATGCAGCTGTGAATGAGAGAATGAGATCTACTCATAGTGCAATTGGAAGTCAGTTCCAGCTAAATCTCTACTCAAACGAATAGAAAACACTGCGGTCTGTACCCCTTTATTCATTCAGTGATGGCAGGATGAACAGCTCCGGACATCTTATGATCCAAATAAACAAATGCTTTAGAATCCACAACTCTATAGAATTTGATGGGGGCAAACATGGCTATCTACATAAGAACGGTCATACTGGATCAGACCAAAGGTTCATCTAGCCCAGTATCCTGTCTTCCAACAGTGGCCAATGCCAGATGCCCCAGAGGGAATGAACAGAACAGGTAATCATTAAGTGATCCATCCCCTTTCATCCATTCCCATCTTCTGGCAAACAGAGGCTAGGGACACCATCCCTGTCCATCCTGGCTAATAGCCATTGATGGACCTATCCTTCATGAACTTATCTAGTTCTTTTCTGAACCCTGTTATAGTCTTGGCCTTCACAACATCCTCTGGCAAGGAGTTCCACAGGTTGACTGTGCGTTGTGTAAAGATATATTTCCTTTTGTTTGTTTTAAACCTGCTGCCTATTAATTTCATTTGGTGACCTCTAGTTCTTGTGTTACGAGGCGTAAATAACACTTCCTTATTTACTTTCTCCACACCAGTCATGATTTTATAGACCTCTATCATATCCCCCCTTAGTCGTCTCTTCTCCAAGCTGAAAAGTCCAAGTCTTATTAATCTCTCCTCATATGGAAGCCATTCCATACCCCTAATCATTTTTGTTGTCCTTTTCTGAACCTTGTCCAATTCCAATACATCTTTTTTGAGATGGGGCAACCACATTTGCACACAGTATTCAAGATGTGGGTGTACCATGGATTTATATAGGGGCAATATAATATTTTCTGTCTTATTATCTATCCCTTTCTTAATGATTCCCAACATTCTGTTCGCTTTTTTGACTGCCGCTGCACATTGAGTGGATGTTTTCAGAGAACTATGCACAAAGACTGCAAGATCTCTTTCTTGAGTGGTAACAGCTAATTTAGACCCCATTATTTTATATGTATAGTTGGGATTCTGTTTTCCAATGTGTATTACTTTGCATTTATCAACATTGAGTTTCATCTGCCATTTTGTTGCCCAGTCATCCAGTTTTGTGAGATCCTTTTGTAGCTTTTCGCAGTCTGCCTGGGACTTAACTATCTTGAGTAGTTTTGTATCATCTGCAAATTTTGCCACCTCACTGTTTACCCCTTTTTCCAGATCATTTATTAATATGTTGAATAGAACTGGTACCAGTACAGACTCCTGGGGGACACCACTATTTACCTCTCTCCATTCTGAAAACTGACCATTTATTCCTACCCTTTGTTTCCTATCTTTTAACCAGTTACCAATCCATGAGAGGAACTTCCTTCTTATCCCATGACAGCTTACTTTGCATAAGAGCCTTTGGTGAGGGACCTTGTCAAAGGCTTTCTGAAAATCTAAGTACACCATATCCACTGGATCCCCCTTATCCACATGCTTGTTGACCCCCTCAAAAAAGTAGCAGATTCTATTAGTAGATTCTAGTAGATTGGTGAGGCATGATTTCCCTTTACAAAAACCATGTTGATTCTTCCTCAACCAATTATGTTCATCTATGTGTCTGACAATTTTGTTCTTTGCTATAATTTCAACCGGTTTGCCTGGTACTGTTAACTGGCCTGTAATTGCCGGGATCACCTCTGGAGCCCTTTAAAAAAATTGGCATCACATTAGCTATCCTCCAGTCATTTGGTACAGAGGCTGATTTAAATGATAGGTTACAGATGACAGTTAGTAGTCTTGCAATTTCACATTTGAGTTCCTTCAGAACTCTTGGGTGAATACCATCTGGTGCTGGTGACTTATTACCGTTTAGTTTATCAATTTGTTCCGAAACCTCCTCTAATGACACCTCAATCTGCGACAGTTCCTCAGATTTGTCACCTAAAAAAAATGGCTCAGGTTTGGGAATTTCCCTCATATCCGGAGCCGTGAAGACCGATGCAAAAAATTCATGTAGTTTCTCTGTAATGCCTTATCATCCTTGAGGGCTCCTTTAGCATATCGATCGTCCAGTGGCTCCACGGGTTGTTTAGCAGACTTTCTGCTTCTGATATACTTAAAAAATTTTTTGCTATTACTTTTGGAGTCTTTGGTTAGCTGTTCTTCAAATTCTTTTTTGGCCTTCCTAATTACATTTTTACACTTCATTTGCCAGAATTTATGCTCCTTTCTATTTTCCTCACTAGGATTTAACTTCCACTTTTTAAAGGATGCCTTTTTGTCTCTCACCGCTTCTTTTACTTTGTTGATTAGTCACGGTGACACTATTTTGGTTCTCTCTGTTTTTTAAGGCACTTTTTGGGTTTTCGTACTATGTTTTTTAAAAGTTTTAATCTAGAGATTAGAAGAGGGGACTTTAAGTCAGGGCTCCTGGGTTCCCAGCTCCACCACTGGCATGCTGAGACCTTGAGACATAAAGAATAGGCACTTATATTTTTTCCCAATGTCCCTTACAAACAGTACCTGATTAAACCTTGTATAGCACATAAGTATTATCCCTATTTTACAGATGGGAAAGCTGTGTAAAGTTATTATGTAATTTATGTGGCTCAATGTTTATAATGACATGTTCAGATGAAATGGACTATATAAAGGCAAAGCTACTCTAAAGAGAAAATAACCAGTGTGTACCCTTATCACCTCCTAATGGAGTCATCAAATGCAGCATCAACATCCAGGTTGGCCTATGAGAGGCACCCCTGTGATCACTAGTTATCACCTTGACTTTTATAACCCATTTACAACAGGGTGATACTTTTATAAAAAGTAGCACTGGGCCCCTGTTACAAGGACGCAGAGTTCAGCAGCTGATACAAACCCCTCGGTAATAATGTTTTCCCATGACAACACTAACTACGTTAACTGGGAGACACATGGGACTTTTAAAAAAACAACCCATGAGATGCCATGTTTTTATTCACATTCAGTATCTTTGGTGCAAGAGAGCGTACTGGTGGTGAAAGGAGCTAACTTAATAGCCCCAAAGACTAAAATCCTTTGGGTATCCACGGAACAGGTTTGGTGCATGCAAACAACAGGGCAAGAATCCCCACACTGCCCTGGCAATGTGCCTTAGCTGGAGGGACTATTTCTATCAGCACGATGGAAATTCAGTCCCCACAATCCATTCAAATCTTGGCCCCTCTGCTGAATCTGCCAATAATGGGGTCAGTTAGTGCCAGCGGAGTCATGCAACGTCTGTCCACTGGGAGCTAGTCTGAGATCACCAAACTCAGGAGTCCCTTTATATCTCGTGCATCAGCACATCCTCTCTCTTCTAGAATGCAAGCTCTCTGCAGCAGAGACGCTTTATTTTGTGTCTTGTACATCATGGAACACACTGTCAGTGCTTAATAAACAACAATAATAATGCTGAAGAGCCAAAAACCCAACTGGTTTTCACATTTCAAAGCCAACAATCAGAGCCATTATGTAAATATGCAAGTGGCCATATAGAAGCCTGTCTCCCTAGAATATTAGATTGTAAATTGTTTGGAGCAGAGACTATTTTTTTCCTTTATGCCTGTACAGCATTTAGCATGTTTGACCCTAGTTGTTATATTAAGTTGTGCGGAATGTATTTATCAGGAATATGTATGTAGCATTATAAACATATGTGGCACCACACCAGCAGCGAGCGGGACATGGTATAATTTGTAGAGAACCCAACATCAAAGTATGGAGGGGCTGAACAGAACTTACATTAGTATAGGGAGGCCTGTGGTGTCGGTACTCGATCCAGGGAGGCAGAGCCAGGGTACGATTCAGAGTCTTGGCAAACGCCAAGGAGCCCAGGAAATGATCCGCCTGGTTCCCAAATCTCCCTAAAAAAAGTGTCAAGAGCTGGATTTATTGGCCAAATCAGGGATGCCCATGTTGCCACAAAGACTCGCTACAACTCCATGCCCTCCCCCATCTCTGGATCATCAAAAAAAGTGAAGGTTTTCAGGAATTACAGGGATCTGGGGGAGATCTGGGACCCACGGCAGGTGGAGGGTGGGATAAGAGAAGGGCAGGGGGGGAGGGTGATCCAAGGAGGGGCTGCTGGGTTGGGAGAAGGGAGGAAGGAAGAGTGGGTGTGGGGAGCTGAGTCCCTGGGGGCTGAAAGTCTGATTGCAAGAATGGACCGGGGTGTGTGTGGTGGGGGGGGGGCACTGGGAGGGAGCTCCGGAAGGGGGGAATCGGCGGGGGGAGGGAGGATCTAGGACTGGGGACACCAGCGGGCGTGGGGGGGGGGCAGGAAAGGGGCCGCTGGGGTGGCCCCAGGGAGGGGCCCGGGAAGGGGGTCGCCACGGGGGCGCGGCTCTGGGGAGGGGCCCTGGAAAGGGGGACACTGGGGGAGCCCTGCAGCGAGCCCGCAGGGAGGGTCTCACCCATGCAGGGGCAATAGAGCAGGTAACCGGCTGGGTCCCAGGCGGGCGCCGCCGAACCGCTCGCCGGTACCAGCAGGAGCAGGAGCCGGAGCCCGAGAGCCCCCATCATCGCCGGGCAACCAGCGGGGCGGGAGGCCTATCCCGGCATGCACCGGGCTCCGGACCGGAAGGGGCGCTCTGGGGGGAAAGGGCACCATAGAGGCGGAAGGAGCGCGAGCGAGCGCGGCGTCACTCCCACAATGCCCCGCACAATGGGGCCGCCGGGGCCTGAGCCGGAGCCGAGCCTGGCGGGGCCCGGGGGAACGGGGTGAGTGCGGGGACGCGGGGAGCCCCGGGGCAGGGGGAGGAGCCTGCCAAGCCACGCCCCCTTCCCCCCGCGAGCGCCATCTCCCCGCGGCCGAGGGGCGCGCCTGAGGGGGCAGCCCGGCCCCTGCGCGGGGCTCTGGAGGACGGGGACCCCCGCGCGAGGAGCCGGTGCCGCCTCATGCCCCCTCGCCCGGGCCGTGGCTTGGCAGAAGGTTGTGTAGCCCCGAGCCTTCCCTGCCCCTGGGCGGCGCGAGAGACCCGCCAGCGTGCGGCGAGCCCGGCCGGGGACAATCCGCCTCCGCGCCGCTCGGGGGAGGCTCCCCCGGTCCCGATCCGCCGGGCGGGCCTGGGCTCCCGGCTGCGGGGACGGCAGCGAGCTCCTGACTGCTGGAGCCCGAGCCCCCCTGCTCAGCGGGTAGCCCCGTGCCCCAGGCAGCCTGCAGGCACATGCCCCGCACCAGGGCCAGCCTTCATTTCCAGCTCGCTCCAGGGGCTGCGTGTCCGAGCTCGAACCACGGAATCAGGTTCTCCCCCCCTCAGTTCTGCTCTGGCGACTCTAGTGATCGTCTCCCAAACGTGCCCGCGGTTCAAAAGGAGCAAATGATGATGTATAGGCGGGTTAGCCTGACATCAGTCCGGGACACTAACATGGGGTAGGCGATGGAACTGATAAAGAATAGGCATAGAATTAAATGCCAGTCAACATTCAACATGGTTTTATGGGACATTGGTCTTGTCAAATTTGATTACATTCTTTGGGAGGAGGGAGTTTGGTTGATAAAGGTAACTAGGTAGGCAAGGTAAGTGAGGTGATATTTATTAATAAAGATGTAATCTATGCAGAGTTTTGTAAGGCATTTGACTTATTACTGCATGACATCTCAATTTAAAAAAAAGCACTATACAAGATCAGTAAAGCACATGTTAAATGGATTAAGAACGGACAGATTCATGGTATTTGTCAATGAGGAATTATCATCAACTAGAAGTGTTTTTAATGGGGTTCTGTAGTGATCGGGACTAGGTCCAATGCTATTCAACTTTTTCATCTATGATGTGGAAGTGACTACTAAATTACTGCTGATAAAATTTTCTGACGACACAAAAATTGGCGGAGTGGTAAATCAGGAGGAAGACGGGGCTGTCACACAATGCAATCTGGATTGGTTGGTAAACTGGCCCCATTTCAATAAACTGTTTTTTTAATTCAGCCAGCGTAAAGTATACATTTAGGAACAAGGAATGCAGGTCATACCTACAGAATGGTGGGGGAGGGGAACTGTGTCCTGGAAAGCAGTGAGTGAAAAGGATTGGGGGATGATAGTGGACAAGCAAACAACATAAGCCCTGCTGTGATACTGTGGCAAAAAGGGCTAATGCATTCCTTTGATGTATAAACAAGGTATAATGAATAGGAGTAAGGGGAGGCTATTCTACCTCTGTATACAGCGTTAGTGAGACAGATACTAGAACACTGCAGACAATTCCGGTGTGCACATTTTAAAAAGGATATTGAATGAGAGAGGGTGCAGAAAAGAGCACAAAAATTATTCAAGAGCTGGAGAAAATGCTTTTGTGAGGGATTTAAAGAGCTCAGTCTGTTTAGCTTGTCAAAAAGAAGGTCGAAAATGACAATTATAGTGTGTAAGTATCTTCGCGAGGATAAAATAATGGGACACCTGCCAACCAGTAGCTGACATGAAATTTGGGATTCCTGAACACGCTGGGGAAAGAGGAGAGGGGACCAGCCCATTGCTACTGGATTTTAGAGCTGGGGTACCTTAGCTTCTTTTTTATCCTCTAATAGGTGTCTGGTAAAGTTTTCAAGCTATATAAAAACAAATTCTCTTTCTTAGTATGACTTCAAAACATCATGCTTATAGATACTAAGTCTCCTGGAGTCCTCCCATCCCCACTATTTTCCATTCTGTCTGAAGGAACCATTTGTAGTGTCATGGTTTCATCCTGTATCCAGGGCCAGTTCTTCTCATTTATTTATAATCTTTACTGGGGCTCTGTCTTAATAGAAGGATTGGTTCTTTCCCTTCCTGGCTGCAGATCTGGCCCACACCTGGCACGGCTGTTAATGTGTGGGTACAAAGTTCTTCCCTCATATGCAATCATTGAGAAGGGGTTAGAGAGTTTGATGCTATTTTAAGAAGAGTTTCTCATGCGGCTAAACTTTAAAGGAGGAGGATATACTCCACTGTGACTTTGGTAAAAACAGTCATTCAAGTTAACCCTTTCCTGCCACATGAGGTTGTGGAGATTTACAGGAAACAGTGTGAAGGCAAAACAGGGGACAGACTGGAGTCAAATCTCAGGAGCCTCTTACTAGAGCTGTAGTGAAAAATCAATATGAGTTTTAATCTACTAGCAGAAACCCTCCAAGAGGAAACAGAAAATCCATAAGGATACTACCAAATGTGTAGTTTTGCTGAAAAGCAGATGCTTTAATTGTCCATGATGATGTATAAGATCAGGTCAGACAGTAAAAAGGGAGCTGTCTGTCATTACAGCAGGCTTGTTGATCCAGATAGCCAGGAACAAGTCCACGTATGGTGGAAAGAAAATGAAACAGAGGCAGCCTACATTAGCCTCCCTCGGAGGGTCATATGTGCTTGTCTTATTGACTCATATTTGCTCCACAAGAGCTACTTCTGTCAGCTCACCCAGCTCTAGGCAGCTGTAGAATACCAAAAAAAAAAAATAATTGAGACTTGTGGAATTTCTGTGACAGATGCAAGAAGGGAAGCCCAGCAAAGCGTAAGAGCAAATTAAAAGAGTGAAATAGATGAAGAAAGGGACTAGGATGAGGAGCGGATGTTATTTTTAAGAAGCAGATGAGGAAAAGGTGACAAGCTTAGAGGCATGACCAGCCAGTATGTTCAGAGGAAATTAATACATCAGGCAGCAATGACTTTTAATACAGTAGTTTAAGTTATGTGATCAGATAATGGTTATTGTGTGGGAAAATTCTAACCCTCACCTCCTTTTATTCATAAAAAATTAGTACAAGTGCCTTTAGGACCCCCCTGAGATTAAGGAAGGAAGAGGACTGGTGAGAAGATGACCTGAGACGGGAGAAGAACTTTCTCTCTTTCCTTGGCAGCCCTCTTTGCTAAGAATGCTCCAGCCTGTTAGGAACATTTCTCCTCACGGCATGGATGATTGGGTAGCAGGGTTAATCTCACATCCAGATTTTACCCGAGTGGAAGCATTCTCAAATCAATCCCTTGTACCAGGCCATGTTGTATTGTGTTCATTTAGAACAAAATGTAATTCAGGGAAATAGGAGAAATTCTTATGTCAGTGGGCCAGCATAATCAGTGGCTTCATACAGGCTGTTACTAAGGTATATTTGTAGCCGTTCGGGTGAACGGCTAGAACAATGCAGTACCCTTACCCCACCTGTTCTGTTGTTTCAGATGAAGATTTCTTGCTGTTAAAGTCATATCATTGCAAAGGTTCCAGCTCTATCTGGACAGCGTAACAGCAAGTCGCCCACAGGTATGAGTTCTGCTTAACATGGCCCTGTTCTACTAGGCCTGCCATGACGGCATTTTTTACCAGTGTTCCTACTTGGATTCAAGATGCAAAGCAGGAGGAGGAGGAGACGGGCTGGAAATTAGTCCCCAGGCAAAGGGGTCGAGAGGCCGAAAGTCAAGGCAAGTGCCAATGTGAAATTTCTGGGACCTCCTTTACCAATGTGGACAAGCTGAGAACTCACACATTCGCTCATACAGAGCAGAGACCTTACAACTGCCCTCAGCTGCACTGTGGAAAGGCCTTTGCATCCAAGTACAAGCTCTATAGGTAGGTGACTATGCTGAGTGCCTCTAATTAACAGTTCTCTCCCCTCATAGGACAGGGAGAATCCCACTACACTGTGGTTTTGTTATATCTAGTGGCAGGGTGGAGGAGGGAAAATCCTTGTTACTTTGCAAGTAGTTAAGTTCCAGGTGTTACCGAATTTCTTTAGCCCCTTCCCCTTCTGAAGACCTCACATTACTTTAAAACTTAAGGCCCAGGATAAGTGTTTTCTGTTTTATTGATGAAGATATTGAGGCACACAAGTTAATCTTACAAAGCAAATGGTAGAAGGCCAAGAATCCTTGTCCTATGCTTTAATCACAAAGACCATTTCTGTCACACTTAGTAGCCAGCCTTGAAGAGCCAGACTTTGGTGCTGAAGAATGGGATGGGATCATTAAATTTGCTAAATAAGTTCACTATGAAGATAGGCTGGATGGATCAAGGTTTTTGAGAGGGTAAAGAAAATTCCATCTGTGAGTTTCAAGTAAGAATTCAGCCCAAATTGGTAGTGACAAAAGGTTACCACCCTCTGATGGCTGCTGCTGAAATGCACTGCTGGTCTCACTTCAGTCCCCAGTAGGCAAGTGTCCAACACAAAAACTACCAAAGGTGGCACTAGCTAGTTACCCTGGTTGGCAGGCTCAGTAGAGAAGGCAAGAACTGAATGGAAGACCAAAGTATACTTGTGTAGATGTGATGCCTTCAGTCAGGACTGAAACAACTTAGAAAGGGCATTGTGAGAGAAGTTTGAAATGCTACTGGCCATGATCCTTTACTGGTTTTGGGGATGGAGAACTTGTGCTTCTAGGGCTGTCAATACAACCACTTTAAAAAGCACTAAAATTTCACACAAGATTTTAAACAAAAAAAAAAGTTTTGAGGGAGTAGGGGGAGAGCTTACAAAAACAGCACTTACTGTGCTGTGGGTTGAACACTACCCTAACTTTCCTTCTCCATTTTCCTCACACAAGGCACATGGCCACACACTCTGCCCAGAAGCCTCACCAGTGTATGTACTGTGAGAAAATGTTCCACCGGAAGGATCATCTCCGCAATCACCTGCAGACTCATGACCCCAACAAGGAAGCCCTCCACTGCCCTGAATGTGGCAAGAACTACAACACCAAACTAGGCTTCAGGCGACACCTGGCTATGCATGCAGCTGCCAGTGGTGATCTGAGCTGCAAAGTGTGCCTGCAGACCTTTGAGAGCACGCAGGTTCTCCTGGAACACCTCAAGGCTCATTCCAGGAGGGCATCTGGTGGAACAAAGGAAAAGAAGCACCCGTGTGATCACTGTGACAGACGCTTCTACACACGTAAAGACGTGCGGAGACACCTCGTGGTGCACACAGGGCGGAAGGACTTCCTGTGCCAGTATTGTGCTCAGAGGTTTGGGCGGAAGGACCACCTGACCAGGCACATGAAGAAGAGCCACTCCCAAGAATTGCTGAAGATCAAGACAGAGCCAGTTGACATGTTGGGTCTCCTAAGCTGCAGCTCAACTGTAGCAGTGAAAGAAGAGTTGAGTCCAGTTTTATGTATGGCATCCAGAGACATGATGAGTGGTAAGAGCTTTCCTGGCATGCTGCCTATGGGCATGTACAGTACACACCTCCAAGCTCTGCCAAGCTCAGGGATGCCCCATTCTTTGGTTCCCAACTCTCTTCCAATGGGAATGAGTTATCCTCTGGAATCTTCTTCTCCTATCTCCTCCCCACCACAACCTCCTCCGAAGTACCAGCTCGGATCTACCTCATATTTACCTGAGAAACTACCCAAAGCAGAGGTGGAGAGTTTTCTGTCAGAGCTTCCTGGCAGTCTGTCTCTCTCATCTGGTGAGCCTCAGTCCTCCTCACCTCAGCCAGTAACGCTGGACGAGACTCTGCTTTCCAAGAGCCCTGCTAACCTTTCAGAGGCTCTCTGTGCTGCTAACATGGACTTTTCTCATCTTCTGGGCTTCCTCCCCCTGAATCTTCCTCCATGTAACCCACCTGTGTCAACAGGGGGGCTGGTCATGGGCTACTCACAGGGGGAAACCCAGCCATTGCTTACCACTTTGCAACCTCAACCTCAAGAATCTCCCGGAGCTGGAGGCTCCCTGAACTTTGGTCCCCTTCATTCATTACCCCCTGTCTTCACCTCCAGCTTGAGCACAACCACCCTGCCACGTTTCCACCAGGCATTCCAATAAGATGACTGTGGCACTGGTGAGCGGATCTTCCGCTAATACTTGCTCGGAGAGCCTTAAAAATGCACAACTCTTGTACTTCTCTGCTGGGATGTGAAAGCTTTTGAAAGCTGTTTCAGACAGGACGATTCTGGTGTCTGGAGGGAGCACTTGTAGACTGGAACAGCAGATATCCCTGTGCATGTCCCAGTCCTCGATAGTGAAAAGGTTTCAGCTGTATTTTTTTTTTTCTATTTTTTAAATCTGTGAATCGGGAGCCACACGTTTAGCACTGAGGTTTTGGAGCCTTGTTCCTCTTTGGGAAGGTATTGAATCTGAGGAGCTGGGGCTGTTTCAGCTTGGGCAGACTTGGACTAACCTTTGGAAGAGTCCAACTTCCATTTTTATGTTACCACATTGCAATCCTGGCATTACAACCAGTACCTGCAGGTGAATCAGGAGGAGGGGGACGTCTAGAGACCTATCCCATATGGAGCAGAGGGGAAGAGCTGTCCTTCCCCATTACCCCATCCCATCACCTATACAGCTTATGCCATTTTGCATCAGTGTTAAGCAATAATGAGAGCATCAACACGATGGATGCATACCACCTCGTTTCTTTTTGCAGAGCCATCAGATTAGGCTCATTCCAGTGAAGTTTTTTTTTTTTTAAACCACAACAGGAGTCTCTTTCTATCATTACAAAAATAGGAGGCACCAGTGTACATTGGTTTTGTATCTGGTGTAGCTAGAATACTGTTTACACAATGAAGTCAGGTTGCACTGATTTCTCCTCTTCACTTGTCACATTTTTTCCCCCATGGGGAAAATAAACTGACTTGGACTACTTCAGCCTCTGCCATTTTAAATGGTAGTTCTTTGCACATTCCCTTTGACTTCCCATATGCGTCAGAGGGGGATGGAGCAACTTGGACATCTGGCTCACTTTTGTGGTGTATGAAGTGCGCCCTTTCAAAAACACCACAACCACACAGATCCTGCCTCTATCTTGGAAACCAAAGCATGTGAAAAAGCAAAGTTTAGAGCTAGTAGTTGGCAGCATCAAGTGCTATCGTACAGGAGACCCAGGTTTGGGAGTGATCTCTGGGCTTCTGCTCCATAGGTTAGACATGGATATGAAGGACAGGGTATGAGCTGACATCTTTTCTGCCACCAGTTTGCCAGGGTCAGTGACTTCCTGGCTGATCCACAATGCAGTGTCAAGAGACATATTTTGACCTCCACAGTGGAGTGATAGCATGCAGGAGTCAGGAGAAAACAAAACTGGCCCTAGTTTTGTTTACACTTAGTCACTGTATTTGAACTGTTTCCCCAACACTAATTGTCCTAACAATAGCTGAGGTCTCTGGGATTATAGTCCCTCTTCCTCTCCTCTAGCCTGGAGTTTTGGGCCTTTTTTATTCCTCCTTTCTCCTGCCATACCCCCTGAACCCTGGGTTCCACTTCCCTTGCTCCTCATCATCTGCAGCCCTTGAGTTCTCCTTTGTGGAATCTCCACCTACTGATAGCAAAAAGCTTAAACTTTTAAGGGTCAGCTCCGCATAGTCTCCTGTTCACATCATGCTCGGTAGCCCATAATCTTGGGTATGTTAAATCCAGCTATGTTTTAATGCACATCTACGAACACAGACATGCAGCTTTTCATACCTCAGCATGTAGGAGCATAACAGGCTAGGAGGGAGTTTATCAACATCTCTTTACAAGCCCCCCAAACAGATATCTACCTCTGTCCTGTTATCTTAACTCCGTAAATGAAGTCAGTTACTGTCCCCCGCATTCTCTTCTTTCCCAAGAACGTGTCCGCCTCCCTCTTCACTTCAGCTGACATTTTTTTGCTTCTATCTTCCGCCATTTGTCTCAAACCCACAGCATGCAATTAGTTCTGTTTCATTTGCTCATATAGCTGGCTCTTCCTCCACTTTACTCAAGGATTTCCTATAATTTTTTAGTAATGTCATCCTAACCCCAACTGGTGAACCAGCTAGACCTTGTCATTTAAGTTTAGCCAGTGAAACTGCAAATACTACTTTAGTTCATATCAGTGTACGTTTTTACCTCAGCAATATCCTGTGAAAATGAGTTCCCCAGATTAAAAGTAGTACTTCCTTTTATCCATTTTCAAATGTTGCCTTTCAAATTTCAGCAAGTGCCTTCTTTTAATTTGAAAAGGTAAATAGGGGGATCTCAGCTGGTCTTCTCTTAACCATTCATTATTTTTAAATACCTCAGTCATGTCTCCTATTTTTCTCTTTCCAAATTAGTTTAACAATTTCACCTTCTTAAGTCTGATTTCTGTCTTTACATATATTTTTTTTAAACAAAAGCAAAAACGGAAAAAAACTTGGTGATCAGAACAAAGCGTTATTTGGATTTATGCAGTGCCATAATAATTTTTCCTCATCTCTAAATTTGTAACATCTGATTCTACTTTGGGGTTTTTTTTGCCTTCATTGTGCTTTGAGAAGAGATTTTCACTGAAATATCTTCAGTGGTAGCCAAGTCTACAGCCAGGCAAATGCCTCCATTTTCTACAAATACTCTCTCAAAGAATCAATGGAATTCACTTCACTAGGTTTTGCACCACTTGGTTTGCTTTCCATGGCTATTCCAGCAAGCAAGTTTAAAAGGATGTTCATATATAAAATGATTAACCAACATTAGGGAATATATTAATGGAAAGCAAGTCTAGAACTCAAACCAACTGTTTACTTTGGGAACTTGATGCAAAGATTCATCCTGACCCATAACATGTCCTGTTGAGTTCAATGGCTATAGGATCAGACACTTAAGTATGCAGATAAGATTAAAATGTTAAGTGTTGTAAATAACATTGTGGACACAGAAATAAATGTAAAAGAGATCTAGAGAGATGGGAAATAACTAAATGAGATTCATGCAGGACAAATGCAAGTTAAAACATCTTGGGGGAAATAAAGAATTGGAGAGGAGATATTTGGAAAGCAATATTGTGAAAAAGACTAAAGGGGTGATAGAGGACAGCAAGTTAGATGTATGTTTACAATGAAATGTGACAACAAAAAAGCCCTGTGGGATTTTAGACTGGATAAAGCAAAGCAATTCATAAGAGGAATCAATTTCTATAACTGGTAAGACCTCATCTGTAATAATTATATTGGGATGTATGTAGTGGTTTACATCCCTATGTCTCCTACCACTTACAACTGAATATCATTTGCTCCATATATAAAATAGGGATAATGAGACAGAGGTTAAAGTCAACATCAAAAGTTCAGAAGTGCCTTTTAAGAATCTATATTTGGCTTGCTCAGTGGTAGAACCCATGAATCAACTTCTTGACTCCAGCCCTGCACCATGCCTGATCATGCTGGGTCCTAGAATACTGTATGTTTATAGGCACCACTGTACCAGAAGGGCATAGACAAATTGAATTTCAGAGGAAAGCAATTAAAATGGCTAAGTGGCTGGAGGGGCTCACTTTAAAAAGAAATTAATAGAAATAGACACCATGTAACGACCCTCAAATTTAAAGACCCAGGAGAGAGAGGGGAATTACTGAGGGTAGTACAAGGGGGATAATAAGGATAAATAAATAAAAGGGAAAGTTTAGGTTGCATAGCAAGAAGGATGTCAGTCTCCCAGTGGAAGTTAAGATGTTTCAGACCTAGACTGGCTCAATTTTAGTAAACACAGTAAGGAATAACTCTGCACTGCTAAGGAGGTGGGCTTCCTGGTCCTTCCCAGGCTCAGATTTCTAGAACTGGGAGAATTCTCACTCACATCTTTTTCCTGAGGGCTTACAGCTGGTTCAAGAACCCTTCTGTGTGCAGGTAGTGTAAATAGGAAGAAAATGTCCATTACTTTGCATTTGTCTATGCTGAATTTCATCTGCCACCATGTTAGCCACTTACCTGGTTTTGCTAGGTCCTTCTTAAAAAGAACAGGATACTTATGGCACCTTAGAGACTAACAAATTTATTAGAGCATAAGCTTTCGTGGACTACAGCCCAGCCCACTTCTTCGGATGCATAGAAGAAGTGGGCTGTA